GTCATGGAATGCTCATGTTTTATTGGCCATATTTTTATCTCTATAATACAGTATTTTCGCTCAATATAGTTTTACTGATTGTTGGATAGTGTGGCCACTTGATTCCATTCCAGATGTTTGGTTTTTAGTTTTTTGCATTTAGAAGCTTGACATTTTACGAAACATGCAAGATATATCTTTCAATCTTTGTACCATATCAAAGATATCATTGTATGCAAACTTATGGACAATATCTAAAGTTCTTCCATGAATTATTTATTCTTTATAATTAGACTTAGTTTCACTTTGTGAAATTATTATGTCATTACTTTGACAGGATGATGGCCTGGTACATAGTCTGTCAAACTCAAAATGCCCTGAGGTATGTTATTACAATATGCATGTCTCTTTTTTGTTTCTCTCTTCTTCTATGTCTCGAATTTATCTAAATTCTCTAACTCTTAAACGATCGAAACTATTATAGAGCTACTCCAGATTTGCGTTCATGTGGAGTGATACTCTTTGTAAAGGTTGCACGAACCTAACCTTCTCTTTATACTACTGTGAATTATATAGACCAATTAAATTTGTGTAGAGTATGTTTGGAACATAATTTACATTCATGCTCATTGCTAGCTGGAAATTATGTTAATGCACCAAGCTCCTGATTTTTTTGTTTATTTTTCTGATCTATGTTTCATCATTCAATAAGGAAAAAAATGAATTGGTTAAAGAGCTGGTAATCCACAATAAACAGAGCCTGTTGCATAAGGACTAGCTGTGCCATGAGGGACATTGCAATTGGATGATGCATTTTGGTTATCAGGAAAACATTTGATGTCCCACCACGAGTTATATGAGTTGTATTAGTTTTCAATGATTTCACATAAACATCATTAACTAAACAAAATCTTGTAATTGACTGCAAATTTGATCATCAATCTCGAAAAATATGTTTTCCTAGGATTCACTTAAATTTCAATGTATATGCATGCAATACAAAGAGGATAAGATAAGTTTGATTTGATGTAGTTTACATTTCTCCAATATTTACAGAATGAGCAATATATTTTTTGTCTAAAACAAATTGACTCATATTTTATGAAAGGCATCTTGCAACCTAATGTATACATAAAAATTATTTTCACCATATAATAATATTACGACACGTGCAACGCACGTGCACCTTGCTAGTACCTATAAATAGCCCTTCTAAAATTCTGAAGAATATTGTGTTAGAACTTAGATTTGTTTTGGTGTTTCGACTTTATCATTTCGAGGGTTTTGTGGTTTTTGTGGTATTTCAATATCAGTAGGTAGTGCAATGGAATCATTATAGTTATCTTTTTTTCTAAAATATTAGTAGTTTTGAATTAAAAGGTGTTCTTATTTTGGAAACTTTATGTCAGTTTTAGAAAATATTTGAATAATTTAAACTTTGTGGTTTTCGAAATTCTGAAATTTCTGACACTTTTGAAATTGAAATAAATTTCTAATACCGAAAATTTTGGAATTGAAAGTAGAAGTAATTTTGCTCTTCCAAGAAAAATTAAGTCTGATCTGGTCCACTCCATCGTACTTTCCCTCCTAGATAGATTCCTCATATCTGAATAGCGAATAATATGTACAGCTTATTCTAACTCCTGCTGTGTTTATTCACCACCTCTGTTTATAATCATATAAAATCAGCTTTTACATGCTTTGACGTAAAACATATTATACTAATCAGTCAAGATGTTGTCAGAATAGCCCGTCTAGCTCAGTTGGTAGAGCGCAAGGCTCTTAACCTTGTGGTCGTGGGTTTCGAGCCCCACGGTGGGCGTATATATAAAACTTTTTGGGTTCGAACCCCACGGTGGGAGTATATATAAAACTTTTTGTCTAACTATTTTTTAGAGATATGTTGTTGATAATGAATGGAAATATAATTTAGGGATAATATACTATAAGTCCATTAAATCAAAACTAATTTTAACTAAATGATAACTTCAAATCAAATCTTGTAATTATGTTCTTAGTTTAAAATAATATATGAGATTATCCCTAAAGTTTTTTTATCCCTATAGTACCCTTATACAATAAATTTTATAACCTACGTATTCACATTTCTTTAACTCAGATCTATTTATCTTCTTTTCATATTTTATCTCACTTTGTCTCTCCATCTCTCTCTTGCGTTTACTCTTCTTTCCTCTTTACCTCATATTTTTTCTCCCTTTATCACCTCTCTATCTCTCTCTTCCTTTCTCCACAAATCTCTCTCTTCCTTTCTCCATGAAGGCCGCCGACTGCAGGCACGAAGGGAGCAAGAGCAGGTCCAGCGTAGGCAATGGTGGAGAAGGCGGTGGTTGCAAAGGGTTGTGCAGCGGGGATTGTGCGACGGAGGGAGCAGGTCTTCCTCTATTTTTTTTTTTTATAATGATTTGGTAATGAAAATAGATAAACAAATTGATTTTCTTCATTTGTTTTATAAATATCTGTAATTGCAAGCATATTTTAACTAATTGAATTTGATTTTCTTGATTTTTAAAAAGTTTTTTCTTGTTTGGATATGATTTGTTATTGTTTTCAATTTGTTGCGGATCTAAATTTTTCAAAAAGGAGTAGGTGACTACGGTTGCGACGGCTGGGACTTTTGGCTGCTAGGGTTTGGGCTGAGGTTGCTTTGACTGCTAGGGTCGGTGGCTAGGGTTTGGAATAGACACCGTAGTAAACCATAGTATACCATATTACACCGTAGTATACTATGGTCTACTACAGACTGTGAATATATAGAGGATACCATAGTACACCACAGTCTATTACAGACTGTGAACATATAGAGGATGTTTGATGAAGTGAAATTTAAGTTTTAGATGTCTACAAGCGAAGATAGCAACCACGATGACTATAGATGACCATAGATGACTATATTTATTGATAGAAGAAAAATATATAAAAAAATTGAAAAATATGTAAATTGGATTAAAAAGAATTACATGTGTTTTTTATAAAATTGTACAAAATTTTGAAATGAAGAAAGAAACAAAAAACGAAGAAAAAATGGTATTATATAAAAAAAAATAATTTAAAAAGTAATATGGAAAAATGAAAGTATTAAATGCAAAAAGAAAAATGATAAATGCAGTTTGAATTTACTTAATATTGAGTGGAGGGTTACTTTTGAAATGAATTTTGTAAAGGATGCGAAGCTAATGTTTAGTTGGGTTTGTCATTTAGTTCTAATAAGTTTTGTCATCAGAGACCTATATCTTAAGGCCCCTATGATTTATGAAATTAATAAACTAAAATATATTTGAATACTTAAAATTACTATTAGTTATATATTGATTTCTTAAAATTTATCGATATGAATTTATTTGATTACTTATTCTTCTAACACTTAAATATTATTTATTAAATATGTACCCAACACAACATATTCTTTTTAAACTTGTAAAAGATTGCATTTTTCAATAGATATTTTTATTTGTATAATTTAATTATTCTTTTAGTTATTTCTTTAAATAAAAAATAAAATTTAATGCATTAGGATTTAAAATACAAATTAAATTGAGCTTGAGGGGGTAAGTGTTACAAATGATACTTTAGGGGTAAGTGTTACATAGAGTATACTTTGCAATGTAAACTGTATTTAACCCTTTTTTTATATACTTAATATTTTGTCCCAAACATGAAGATCCATAAATATATTTGCTCGGATAAAAATTCCTATACAAATTATAGACAAAAATACCTTACTAAAATAGGGAGTAAGTGAGTCATCTTACCCTGAATCAACTCTCGATCGCGATCTTTCAGCTTCCCTACAAAATCTATTGACGCGATTCTTCAATATTTTCAAATATTATCTCCGTTTTTCTTTGCTATAAAATGAAAGGCAAAAACAAACCCTAATTTCTCAAAGATAGTCCAACAAGCGTTATTCAGACATGTCCACTCGAAGAACATTGGTTTCATTAGAATTATAAAGTGACAAACACTTTGAAATACTTTACTTCCAAAACACAAATAGGATGAGAGTGAAGGAATACTTGTTTCAATAGGTGCATTTGTGTGTAGAGAAACAAAATCATCAACAATTTTTTTTAAGCTAAAAGAATATCAATTTGTAATAATCCCAAACGCCCCTACTAATAACATGACAAGAAGCAAGGATAAACTTAACAACTTGCTTTATCGTGGGTCATTGATTCTCGTCTCCATCAACACACACGAGTGGCGGCATAGTAATGTCCATTCAAATTCGTCTGCGTAAACTCTCTTTGATATCAAACTGAGAATTATAATCCCAAATTCAAATACGTCTTGTTTAGTCGACCAACGACCCATAAAAAATCCAATCCAAAAATAATCCTTGAACATATATACGACCTATAATTTCATATATAGAGCATGCTGAAGTGGATTAAATACTGAAGAAAGAATGTGCTTTTATATATATTGATGCTATTCATTCAAAATATATGTACCTCATGTATTGCATAAAGTGTTAATCTACTGGTTATCAGTATGAAGAAGGAAGATGATAGGGAGAAGAAGAAGTTGCAGAGAAGAGGAAAACTTTATTCATCTAACAGAAAAATGTGAAGTTACCGTTACAAGAGAGATGAGTTGGATATTTATATCCAATCATGTAAAAACGTGTTTTCTAATTAAAACAAGAAGTGCTATTTAAATAATAACAACTTTTATTAACATAAAAGTAAAACTATATCTACATTTATCAATATAAAATATATATCAACACCCCCCCTCCCCCTCAAGATGGAGAGTAAACATCCTTGACTTTCATCTTGGCCAGAAGATAAGTGAAACTAGGAGAAGGAAGGGCCTTGGTGAACAAATCGGCCAGTTGATCTTTACTTGGAACTGGCATGAGTTTAAGAATTCCAGTCAAATCTCTTTGTCTCACAAAATGGCAGTCAATTTCGACGTGCTTGGTCCTTTCATGGAATGTGGGATTGGAAGCAATATGCACAGTAGCAAGATTGTCACAGAATAAAAGAAAATACTGAATAGGGATGTTGAATCTTGAAGAATCTGAATAATCCAGATGAGCTCACTGGAAGTCATGGATAAAGCCCTGTACTCAGCTTCTGCAGAGCTCTTGGAAACAGTAGCTTGTTTCTTGGCCTTCCAAGAAATGAGAGAATCCCCAATGAAAACACAAATCATGTGGTGGACTTCCTAGTGTCTGGACATGATCCCCAATCTGCATCTAAAAAATCTTTAACAGCAAGAGAGGATTTTGAAGAATAAAAAATGCCTTTACCAGGAGAAGCCTTGAGGTATCTCAAGATGTGATGAATGGCACGAACATGGGGAACCCTAGGCTTGGAAACATATTGGCTGAGCTTATGCACAACATAAGTAATATCTGGCCTAGTAATGGTGAGGTAAAACAGCCTACCAACCAATCTCCTATACTCAGAGCCATCCTCAAGAAGATCCCCTTCTTCATTATTGAGCTGAGCTTTGGGATCCATGGGCAGCAAAGCTAGCTTACAACCCAAATAACCAGCATCCTCTAACAATTTTAGAGTATACTGCCTTTGAGAAAGGACAATGCCAGTGGAATTCCTAGCTATCTCAATACCAAGAAAAAAATTCAGCTTGCCCAAATCCTTAAGATTGAAAAATGAGTGCAGCTGAGTTTTAACCTTCTGTATCTCTATGGAAGAAGGTCCTGCAATAATCATATCATCCATATAGACAATTAAAGCAAGAAACTGAGAAGAAGAACCTCTAGTAAATAAAGAATGATCAGAAGAAGACTGAGAAAACCAATTGAAGTCACTGCCTCAGTGAACTTTTGATTCCACTGTCTTGAAGCCTGTTTCAAACCATACAAGGACTTGTAGAATTTGCAAACCAATCTAGAAGTAGAAAAAGCAACTGATGAATACTTATAACCTGGAGGGATATCCATAAATACTTCTTCCTTAAGATCTCCATTCAAAAAAGCATTATTAACATCTAATTGGTGAAGCTCCCAATTATGAATAGCAGCTAAAGCCAAAAGAATCTTTACTGTGACTAACTTGGCAACAGGTGAAAATGTGTCAATAAAATCTATCCCTTCTTGTTGAGTGAAACCTCTGGCAACTAATCTGGCCTTATATTTTTCTATTGAGCCATCTTGCTTTCTTTTAATCTTATAAAGTCATTTACAACTTACAGTGTGTTTATGGGCTGGTAATGGATCTATGGTTCAAGTATGATTATCCTCTAAAGCTTGAAGCTCAGCATTCATGGCTTGAACCCACAAATGATTCTTCACAGCTTGTTTATAATTGGAAGGTTCAGTGTCAGCTGAAACATTCATGACATAATAAAAATGACCTGCAGAAAGCTTATGATAAGCAACCTGTTTAGAAATATGATAAAGAGAATTGGAACCAATAATAGAGTTGCACTTAAAATCAGCCAAATAGGCAGGAACCTTAGTGTTTTTGGAAGACTTCCTAGTCTGGGGAGGTAATGGAACTGAACCAGTGACCTGTGTGTTAGAGTAGGTGACCAACAAGCCAACTTGTGGCTGTGGTCTTTCGTATTTATTATTGTAATAAACGAACCTTTATTCGTATTAATGATAAAACACATTGGCATTCTATATCTTTGTCCCTTTGTCACAAGCATAGATATAGTCCTTACAGTTATTACAAGTACTAGTAATTGATCGTTAGGATCGTGAGATATTTACTTAAGTATTATAACTGTTAAACCTGTTCCTAGTCGAAGGGTTACACCACTAATGAGGATATCGGCCTTTCCCATTAAGACTAGCACTTAGTGTATGTGTACTGCATCTCATCAGTAAACGGTATTGTGATATCGGCATGCATAAGTGGGTGCTCGTAAGTTGACGAGTTCACTGAACTCCCTCACCCTAGAAATCTCTAAGTGGTTCCCAATAATCGAGTAGAGATATCTATGGTATAGTTGTACACCATTAGTCCTTATGACCTAGACATCACCGTGACTTCACTAGAGGACCAGCTGTATCGTGACCTGTCCCTGAGTTCCACCGAGGACCATCCCAAGGGCCAGTGTTCGTGCAGTCCGAAATCTAGTGGGAGGTCTGTGCATTGTAGTCGGGGATTCGATCGCTAGAATAGTCTTGGATGTCCTGTGTGTTCTGAAAGTTTGTGATCATTCTAAGTCTCTGGCCAGAGCTGACTAAGTGATGATTAGAGAATTCGATTCTCTAAGTCATGCACGTAAGGATTACAACACTTAGAACGATCGCACCGTCATCGAACATATAAAGAGGTCTCGATGAACCAATGCCTCTAGTTCGATCGGGACATATGAATCGAAGGGACCGTACTGTACGTTAACTATATCTGAAGGTTCTTGCAGGCACTTCATTTGTATCTAGGGAATCATGACGCGTAGTTGCTAGACGCCAATCTTGATTCGTTGGGTGATTAAGGTGAAACGAGCTTCATCTTAATCGTAACTCTAAGGGATGAGTTTTGACCACAAAGAGTTGTGGGCCCACGGCTAGCTTACACCTGAACCATCGAGGGTCACACTGCTCGTGCACATGAGATCTTTGAATAAACGGTCAGAGATAAAATAGTTTATCTTTGCATGATTGGAAGTCAATATGATTGAGTCCAGCATTCGTAATTTGGAATTACGAATGAGAATAAGAAAAGGAAAAGAATAGGCGAACGTATTAGTGAACTTTCTAAATCGGGAAGTTTCCAAATTTAGAAAGTCCACTGAACTAGGGTTTCCACTTTTGGAAAGTTGGAAAATAAGAGATGGCACTCGTAATGACGAGGAAGTTATAATGATTCCGAAAATGTAATCGTTGCAATTTTTCGGTCATTGAATTGAGAGATACGAGCAAGTAAAGGAACTAACGAGCTTAAGCTGTTGGGCCCAGTCCAACTTAAGCCCGCTAGGGTTTTATGCAAGGGACTATAAATACATGATTTATAGGCCTTGCACACACAACACAAAAACCCTAACCCTAGCGGCCGTCCCCTCTCTCTCTCGCCCTCTCTCCCGCGCGGCCACCACCGCGCCACCGTCGCCGCTCCGTCGCCGGAATCGGCCGTTCATCGGCCGTTCCATTTCGGTATTCTTTTCTCCTTTCTTTTTCTTCCGTTAATTCTAACTACTTCGTGTCTAGTGCCACGTTTTAGTAGATCGATGTATACGAGGTGAAATCCGAGAGGAGGAAGACCGTAGATCGAAGAATCGAGGAGCAACGCACGAGCCGAAGCCGCACGCTGCCCCACGCGCCGCCCCGGAAGTCCGCGCGTGAAGCTCACGCGCCGCCGTGGCCGTACACCGCCGCTGCTGCTGCTCCAATTGCTGCCCCGATTCTACGGATTGGTTTCCGTAGCAATCACGACGTGCTAAACGCTCCTACCTCACGCTTCAAGAGGTAAACACGCGAAACCCTAGTTTCGATTTGAGTTGTGTTTAAACCTATGTATTCATGTTTGTTTCGTATGATTTTATGTGATTATGTGTAATCGATTAAATCATTGTAAGCATGTTATTTGGTTTAAACGCGAGCATGTTAGTTGATTTAAATTCGTTTGAATTTATTAGCATGTATGTTGTTTTTAATTTCGCTGGAAGCGCAAAGGTACGCAATTAATTGATTTAATTTGTCGGGCATGTACTTGTGTGATTTAAACTTGTTTAATTCGCACAAAAATTTTTGTTTTCCGCTGCGTATGCGTGCCCGAAACCCAACAGTGGTATCAGAGCTCGTTGCGCAATTAATTGCGTTCGTGTTTATATGCTATGATTTTATGCATGTTCGATTTATTAAAGTAGTGTTTGTCGTATTATGTAATTGGGAGTTTTCGTAAGTTTAAAACATATACAACAATTCAAAAGGTGAGAGATTATTAAGCTTAGCTGCAGGAGTTCTGTTGATCAAGAAAACTGCAGTAGAAATACATTCATTCCAAAAAGTGATAGGCATATGAGATTGAAACAACAAAGACCTTGCTACATTAAGAATGTGCTGGTGTTTTCTCTCCACAACAGCATTCTGTTAAGGTGTGTAAACACAAGAAAACTGATGAACAACACCTAGCTTAGAAAAGAGCTGAGTAAATTGTAACTCATGAGCATTATCAGACCTGAACATCTTAATATTACAATTAAACTGATTTTTAACCATGTGAAAGAATGAAGGAATAACAGCCAAACCATCAGACTTAGATTTGAGAAAATGAACCCAAGTAAACCTAGAGTAATCATCAACAAGAGTAACAAAATATTCGTAACCATTGTGGGACTCAACTCTGTAAGGCCCTCAAATATCACAATGAATAAGATCAAACATATGAGCAGAAACAGTAGAACTAATAGGAAATTTCAAACGTTTCTGTTTAGCCATTGGACAAATATAACAACAAGAATTGCTCTTAGACTTATCCATGGCTAAGGAAAATTTAGTAGACAGAAGATCTAACTTCAACTGAGGAATATGCCCAAGTCTATTGTGCCAAACAATGGCAGGAATTTTATTACAAAAAATATCAGTAGAAACATTGTAAGGCTGAAGAACATATAAGCCATCAATTTTGCTACCCTTGCCAATCTTCTTCAAGAACTTGTCCTGAATAAGAAAGGAAGTGGAATAAAAAATAACTGTGTGAGGTAGATTATCAAGCAAAGCACTGACTGATATTAAGTTGAACTTAAAAGAAGAAACATAAAAAACATTTTTCAAAATCAGATCATCTGATAAACACACATCTCCCATATACTCAACAACAACCAAAGAGCAATCTGGTAATATAACTCTAGCAAAATTGACTTTATGAAGAGAAGAAAATAAATTTTTATCATTACATATATGACGAGAAGCCCCATAATCAATGATCCAATAATGAGGTTGAAAGGATGCATGAAGAGAAGCTGCTAAGCAAATACGAAATGTGTGCAACTTCAGCCTCATCACCATGAGACTGCTGAGCAGAAACCAGTTTCTGGGCAGCCATTTGATTAGAGAAATATGCCATCAATTGCTGGCACTGAGCAGCAGACATGTTAGCCAAAACAGGATCAGATGAAACAAGAGAAAGTTGAGAAGTACTCCCTGAAGATGGATAATCGAGTGGAGACTCCATGGCAGAAACTTGATTAACAGAAAACCTACTTTGAGGCAAAGAAGAAGAAAAACGTGGTTTGGCCTTATAACCAGGAGGATATCCATGTAACTTATAGCATTTATCAATCGTATGTCCTTTCTCTTGGGCGCAGAGGTATAAACCTGATTATTGATAGATCGCTGGGCAGGCTGATCACCACGAATTGAGAAAGCTAATGAGTTATGCACCTCATTATGTGAAGGATGAATGGACCTCTGCCTCTCTTCTTGAGAAATAAGGGCAAAAACCTTGTTTATATGATGCAATGGATCCATGAGAAGAATTTGTCCACGTGTGGAAGTAAGAGACTCATTTAACCCCACGAGAAAAGCCATTACATGTTCTAAATTATAATGTTCATTAAGCTTTTGAACACCGCCACAAGTGCAGGCTCCACATGTGCAAGATGGTCGAAAATTTGACAATTCATCCCAAATAGCCTTCAATTTCGTAAAATACACATTAACAGACTGCGTATCTTGAGTCAGATTAGACAATTCCCGACGTAATTGGAAAATTCGCGGACCATTGGTTTGTGAAAATCTGGTATTGAGATCCTTCCACATCTCATGAGCAGAATTAGAGTACATGATACTCGCCTGAATATCTTTCGATACAGCATTTAAAATCCACGAAATAACAATACTGTTATATCGTACCCTGGCATTGTGAAGAACAGCTTCTTCACGACTCGGTTTAGTGATTGTACCATTGATGAATCATAACTTGTTCTTCACCGTAAGCGAAATCTGCAACGCTCTACTCCAAGAGGCAAAGTTATCTTCAGAGAGTAGCAGCGAAACGAGAACTAACCCAGGACCATCGGACGGATGTCAATAGAACGGACTGGAAACATCATCAACGCGCCGATTTGCCGCCATGCATTTGAGAAAACAAACTCGAAGAATGATCGAATTAAGAAACGAATTGAGAAATTGATCTCGATCTGATCAATTGATGAACATGCGGAAGCGAAAAATCGAAAACTAAACTGATACCATGTTAATATACTAATTATCAGTATGAAGAAGGAAGATAATAAGGAGAAGAAAAAGTTGCAGGGAAGAGGAAAACTTTATTCATCTAACAGAAAAATGTGAAGTTACCGTTACAAGAAAGATGAGTTGGATATTTATATCCAATCATGTAAAAACGTGTTTTCTAATTAAAACAAGAAGTGTTATTTAAATAATAACAAGTTCTATATAACATAAAAGTAAAACTATATCTACATTTATCAATATAAATATATATCGACATAAAGTTATATCGGTGCAGCCATGCATAGCAGCTATTATGACATGAACATATTTTCTTGTCCGGGAAAATTCCACCGCTAATCGAACCAATATCAAATAGCTTTGGAATGTAGTCCTGCAAGAAAAAAGAATATATATATATATAACACCTCGTCAAGAGCTATGTTTTGCAGCATAGAGACTGTCAACTAGAAAATGTTGGTAAGATCCAGACATTCGAAGATAGCACTAAAAATGGGATAATTACATTTTTTGGTCCTTATACTATACACCAAAATTGATTTTAGTCCTTATGTAATTGTGTCCACTCTTTTAGTCCTAAAACAAATCATTTTTTGACAATTTCGGTTGGCCGTCAGAATTGAGGGTTATTTTGGATTGAAAACTCACGTGTGGGGCACGTGAGAATGTCAAAAATTACCCTCTCAACCTCCCTTCTTAAACAATTTATGTTTAATCCCAATTTCATTATATTCCTAAAAAAATTTCCTAAACATATAAAATTCCAATACTTTGATGATAGTGGATAAAAGTCATGAAGATATGAATCTAAAGGTAACTATTGAACAAAAGGAGTTTGAATTCTTCTTTAATTTGACAAACCGCGTTTGTGGATAGACGAATGAATTCAATCTTAAACAACGAGATCTCTTCAATTCAATTTGTAACTTCGAACCCCTAATTTATTCAAAATCCCTATTTTCCACCATCAAAGGTTTTTTTTTTCTTGTTGGATTGAGGTTATTTTTGAAGTGAACACATATGTAAAGGTATTTTTGAACTTCGAACACCTAATTGCTTCAAAATTCCCTATTTTCTTGTTGGTATGTGTTAACCTTTACGAGGAAAAAGTAGAATCAAAAGAATTGTTAAATGACCAATTTCAATGAAATTATATTGTTGTAATTACTTTTTTTTTTCTCATCAAAACTGATTTCCATTGGCTCGTGGTTTTTTTTTAGGTTTTTTTTTTAAGAACTAACAGATCATTTGTTCATTCCCCGATTGTGCACTTTTAGATCTTAACTTCTTTTTTATAAGATTTTCAAATCTTATTGGTATTAACTAGATAATCGTGCAGCATAAAAGATTAAAAAAGGTAAATTTTCATGTTTGACAATCAGTTGAAGCACAAGAAAAACGAGAGGAAATGAATGAGTAAAGTATTAGTTGGACTTTTAAAAATATCAAGATTTTATGTTTTTTGGACATAATTGTAAGAATAAGTGAAACTGAGGTTAAATAAAAAATAGTGGTAACAATGGGGTTGAAAGACTTATTTTCGACACGCTTACGTGCCCACACGTGTTTTTCCCGTCCAAACTAACCCTCAATTCAGAGGCTGACTGAAATTGTCAAAAAGTGGTTTGTTTGATGACTTAAACTGTGGACACAATAATACAATGACTAAAATCATATTTGGTGTATAGTATAAGGACCAAAAGTGTAATTATCTCGAGGTATGTCCTATATGCTGTTGTTTTAATATTAATATAATTTCTCAATATTAATTGGTGCTTCAATAGAGTTATTTAGTGTGTTGACGGTTGTGCAAGTTGAGTGCTTTGTTAAAGTTGTTGCATCTCTGAAATATCGTATCTATTATAGTTTTATACGTAAGATTCATCGTCAAATATTGTCAAAAAAAAGTAAATAATTGTCAAATGAGAATGCAATGAGCCTATGAGTTGGCTAATCTTCCGTGCAACGTAACATGAGCTGGTTAATCTTCGCCGCATCTTCCACCATGCAACTGGACTAAAATAACGTTTTGTGGACAACATAATCAGTCTTAGGTTTAACCGTTTCAAATAGAGCCATACCCGGTAAATTTGGTGTTCTTCTGTCCTTCTTTCCATAATGACTTGACTTAGACTTATAATTCAGTACTTCAGTTGGTAAATCCTTTGTAGACTCAATTTACTGAAGAAGTTGTACTTGATAATCAGTTAGTTGTAAAAGTATAACTCCTCAGCTATACAAGTTATACTTTTCTGGTCACCATACCCTATTATTCAAATGAAATATTTTCAAAAGATTAAATAAAACCAATACAATAATATGTACATAACTAACTGACTATATATAGTGTTACTATAAAAATACAAACTAATCTAAATTAACTAATTTTGTTCAATTAAAATGAAGTTGCATTTTATATAATTGATTGCATGTTCACACAAAAACAATGCTCCATATTTGTCTAAAATGCCACTATTGAACTTATTTTTGACTTTTCGTACATATTATTTTATTGTTTTGTTCTTCAGGCCCATTAACTCAATATCGACATTTAAACATCTTAGATTATTGTCATATTGGAGTATCAAATATCCAAGGCTAAATTATCACCTACTCATAGGAGTCTAAAATCCAAAATCTAATACAACATTTAATTTGTTTTAACTTTTCATATAAAAGCAATGTGTGTCAAATTATTACTGCAAATTAAAAAGTGACTAATTAAGTTGATTATGTTTAGCATTATGACTAATTTCTTTTGACGTGTAGTCTTCATTCACGGTTGGTAAGTCATATCCTGCATTTCTCGCTGCTGCAAAATTGCATATGTAGATGTTGTAATTTTGTTAAATTTAAAAAAAAAAGTGTTAAGTGAATATATCACCAATGTATAGTGCATACATTAATTTAATATTCAAGTTATTACCTTATCCACTAAAATATTGTTAGATTTAACGGGCTTAACGTTCCAGTTGACGTAATTTTCTGCAATAATTGTTTTTACTCCGTAAGCCAATTGTTTTAAAATTTAAAGCATACGTAATCATGACAACTCGTCCCCTAACAAAAAAAAAAAAATAATCAAAATGTAACATTTAATAATGTGGATAATATGACAATCATAGTTTATATATATATATATATATATATTAACTAATAGATGACAGAGCACTAATGCACACTTGAAGTACTATTATTGAAGTAGAGTTATTTATATAATTTGATGGTGAATATACATTTAACATATTAATAAGTTCATACTAAAGCTCCCAAATTTATATTAGTGTTCAGATTTGTATTAAAATGCAATTCTTGCAAATTTGAAGATTCATAGTACAACAAATTAAAAAAAAAAAAGAAAAAAAGAAAAGCTAAGTGTTACGATAAAACTCCAAATCAACACAAATTTTACAACACACATTTGTCGACTACTTGTTAAAGATTTTGAGGGACATAGTCCACGAGGCATGTTCTATGAAGGTGGTTATTTGCACGCAAGGTTTCAATTTTGCAAGAATCTCCACCTCGTTCTAGATGAAAAAAATTATATTTAAATTTAATTTGATGTACATGTATAATATTTGAAATGTATACAAATAATAATTAATTATTTAAATCGATAAAAAAATTATTATATATCTCTGGCCGACATTTTTGCGTGAGTGGAATACTGCAATAGCTTTTGTGTGAAAATTCTTAGTAAAATTGCCAATTATACGTTTCATCTCCTTCATAGACTCACTATGAGAAAATATTTATTGTTGATTTGAATAATTAGTTAGTTAAAATAGACTCACTACTTAATTAAAATAACTTCCACATTTTTGTGACTCTAATTATTAATTAAAATGTATAAAGTACAATATATTATTATAAATAAAACAATAGATAATAGAGATTTATTCTTACTCATCCTGTGCTTTTCTTGACTTGGAATGATCCCCGACGAACCAGAACTTGGCTCACTCGGAATATTTTTCTTTGATTTAGGAGCCATACTACATATATAAGAAACAATATATATATATATATATATATATATATATATATATATATATATATATATATATATATATATATATATATATATATATATATATATATATATATATATATATATATATATATAGAAAATCGGATGTAGACATTTGCGTTTTGTTTTTCTGCCTATAGCATACTTTTGGATTCTTTGATTGTTTATATTTTTATTAAGGATATTTGCATTAACGCAAAAAAATTAGAACTTACGTTGTAGCTATTTACAACATAATTCTCTTACATATTTATGATTTTTTTTAATAACTAAATGAAACATGATAGAATTGTTAGAACCT